CAAAGACCCGCCTCTCCTGTCGGACGGGGGACAAACCGTCGAGCCCTCACTTCCTGCAGCGCTGGCCGGAGGGGTTGGGGGAGGGGAGCTGGGCCATCCTCCCTGAGAGGACAGAGCCAGGAGCAGGTTTGGGAGGCAAGGGCGGGTCCCGGCTGGACGCGTCGTCTCTGCTGGAGTCCAGCTGATGGGTCTGGACCTCGGGAGAAGGCTCCAGCTTCACACCCAGGTCCTGGAAGCCGCGGCAGGTGTGAGTCGGTGTCTGGCGCGGCTCCGGGGCGGGACCAGACCTGGCCGCCCTCCCGCAGGTACTGGAGCTCGCTGCGGAACCTGGTGGTGTCCCTGCTCAACTCCATGAAGTCCATCATCAGCCTGCTCTTCCTGCTCTTCCTCTTCATCGTGGTCTTCGCCCTGCTGGGCATGCAGCTGTTCGGGGGACAGTAAGTGATGCTGGGCCCCAGCCGCCGGCCCTGGTCTCCCCTGAGGGCCTCAAGCGGGCTGCCGACCCTGGCACTGGGACACTGGCAGCCTTGGAGGCGCCGGGTCCTCCCAGCTCCGTCGGGGCTGCCTCTTCCCAAGACCCTTGTTTTCTCAGGTTCAACTTTCAAGACGAGACTCCAACGACCAACTTCGACACCTTCCCTGCTGCCATCCTCACCGTCTTCCAGGTAAGGCTCTGGCTCCTGGCCTGCAGGGAAGGCGGCTGTCCTCCCATCAGCCCCTTCCTAGCGCCGCCACATGACCCGGACGCCGACGTTCCGGCAGAGCCCTACGTGGAGCAGACAAGACCGGTCAGGAGCAACGCACAGGCAGCCTCTGACGTGTGGCCCTCAGTCTGGGACCCGGGTCGGGGGGGCCGCCTGAGACCCAGGTGGAGCTCTGGAGGGCTCCGGGCTTCAGCCATGCACCTCTCTGCCTGCCCCCGAGGCCTGGGGCGACCACAGCTGTCTTTTATTCTCTGAGAATAAAATGCCCTGCCCCTCTGCCCCTACCAGGCTTCTCCCTCCATGGCTCAGGCCCCAGTGGCCCCTCAGTTCTTCTTCGAGTCTGGAAAACATGCCCCTCCCCCCCGCGGCTCCCTGGGAAGCGAGGCCTTCGGCCCGTGTTCTATGTGGCATGGCCTCGGTTCCAAGGGACCGAGGTGCTCTCCCCCTCACAGAGCTGTGGCCCTCATGGGCCCCCCCTGACCGGCCTCTCCTGTACGATAAAGCCGAATGTCTCTGCCCCACGAAGACTCCTTGGCCATGTCTGAGGCCAAGACAGGCAGGGACGACGTGCAGGGGAGCCCTGCAGGTGCACGTGCTCTGGCCGGGGCCCTGCCTGCCCCTGCCCTCGGTGGCTCTGACGCTGCCCCCAGCCAAAGCTGGAGCCACAACTAGTACAAGGAGAGGGTCTGCGACCACCTGCTTTCTCCCTCTGGCCTCAGGGGAAGCCGGGCAGCTCTTCTCCCAGAGGCAGGCACTCTGCTCCCGGCCCGGCAGGACCCCGGCCGTTGTGGTCCTGCTCGCTGTCTGACCGCGCCTCTGAGGGCCGTGGCCTCGCCCTCCTCTGATTCCCTGCGTCGGGATGCTCGTCAGTCCGTCCTCACCTTCTCTGAGGGAGGCAGAGAGAGGCTGGGCTCGCTCACAGGCCGGTAACGCCCCAAAC